CTCAAAAAGGGGGACGACATTTCATCCGTGCTTTTTTTGGTTAAAGGTCGTGGTTGACACATTTGCAGCCAGCTTTTGGAGTCCAACCGTCCTTGGCACCCGGAAATACGCTTCAGAGATTCCTGCAACACAGTGTCTATAGTCTCAAAGTTTAACGCATGCACAGGAATAATGTCCACCTGAAGCCCTGTCATAGCCGTGTCCACAAGCACCATTATACCACTCTCCTCCAGGGCTTTTGCATAATCATCCATAAGGTCTGTTCGCTCTGTAGATAGTAATCCCGTGGTTGAGGCATAAAAAGCATCCTCCTCTACGTGCCAGGATTCCAAAGGCCCGAGTCGTTTATCACGTCGTGCATACTCCTCAATGGCTTGCCGATGCTTGCGGTGAAAGCTAGAAAGAAGATTCTTGATACAGTGTGTATTACTGCTAACGATATCAATGCAAAGATCATCCGGCGGTACCCAGTGACTGTTCAGACCCATTTTCTGCATGATACAAGCACGCAGATTGAGTGCCCATTCAACGAATGGATTCGTCTGAAACTTACGGGATACACCTGGATCCACGCGTACATTAAATTCCTCTCGATGCATCATCACCTCATAAATTTTAACAAGGCAATCCGTCTGCCATAAATCCAAAAGTCCCTTCTGTTCTTCTTTTGTCAGGGGCAAATTCTTTAACACCTCTTGAATACGTTCCAACTCAAGTGCCTTGTCGCGCACCACCCCAGCGCTTTCATCCGCCTCACGGTTATTCAAATATTCGTCCAAGATATCAATAGCCGGTGGGTGCACCAGTCCTTGCACACGGCCTCGGAGCTTGTTGCTTTCAATGATATGTACACACAGCATGGAGAGGAAATCAAGAAGATCCGTGTATCCATCACGCAGCAGCACGAGAGTTTTTCCTTCCATTCCCAAATGCCACGTGCAGCGACGGCGTTCCTTGGTGCGGATGTATGTAATAGCGGTTCGATTTGTTGTGGATTTATTCTTTCCAAACTTTAAGAAATGACGAACATCCGCCTTTTTCGCCTCTTCTCGCATCCGCGTCGCAACAAATGGCGGTAGAGCCAACACGAGATTAAAGCAAAAAGTTGTCGTGACATTTTCCGGGAGACGATTCAACGCGTAACTCCACGCCGCTGTGTCTATTGTATTGCTCTTCAGCTTTGTGTGAATGACGTTCTCAATCTTTGTGTAACGATCGAGAATTGTCCAGAGCGGGAGATACTCATTCATCGCCGCAGAGGGCATAAAAACATAACGGCAAAATTCACGAACCGGAATAAAAATATCACCTTCGCCCAAGTGCCGACCCACACTTTGGGAAAAACACGGGCTTTTCCCCAGCAGCTGCTGGACTGCTCGCAGGGGAAGTAATGCCAGCACCGTGCGCTCGGAGGTGATGCCGGCGACGTACCGCAGTGGGGAGGCGTCTTTGAGGACACAGAGATCCAGGCCGAAAACCATGCCAGGCTTCACCTTGCCACAGTGCGTCATGGCCTCACATTCCTCCACAAGCGGTAACACCTCTGGACACAGTTCCTCTTTATGAAACACCCGTGATTGCTGGAGATCATCTTCTTTTTGAGCGGCATCCAAAAAACAATATGTGCCACCTGCACGGCAAGACCATTTTTTTTGCGTCTTAGGAGGCGAGGGGTGTGCACGTGTCGATCGCTGAGGCGAGTCCGTGCCGCCGTCGTTTGGGGCAAACACCTCCACTTCACCCCCAACAACAATGTACATGTGCGGTGCGTGTCCGCCCTCTGGAAGCACAACTTCTCCCGGCAGATATTCACGGCGTAGGGAGGCATGCACCACCTCTCGCATCTCGTCATGTCGCAGCAGGCAAAAATGCTCCGTGTTCTGCAAAAAGGCGATCATCTCCTTCTCATCATGGGTGGGCAGGCCCTTTATAATCACCGGGTCCGGAATCATATTGCGGTACATCTGTATGCCATCCTCTGCGTTGTGATTCATGCGGGAGCTACAAGTTTCAAAAGATTCTTCTTCGTGCCAAAATTTTTTACGCGTGACGGCCCTCGCGCGCCCCTCGATGGATCGCATGACTTCTTCAATGACGCGGGCGATTCTTCTGCCGGGTTTTACTGCCGCCACTTCGCTTGTGGTGGAAGTCGCGGCCGCCGCACTTGTCGATTCGGGCCTGCTGTCGCCATACTCCCTGCTGGGGCTTCTGTCGGCACACTCCATCGCCTCCTCCAGCAGCTCCTCATTCAGCGTTTGTCGGTGGTCAAACATGTCCCCTTTCCCTCGTCGCCGCCGCAGTGACCGGTACAAATGCAACTGCGGCCAAACGCCAAAAAACAATAATAATAAAATTAAGCACCAACAAAAATAACCCCCCCAAAGGAAGGAAAAAAAAAAAAAAGGTTAATAATAGCCAAACCACCGCCTAATTTTTTATTTAAAATTTGTCCTTTTGTCTCTTGTACTTGTGGTCAACGTCACAAGGGGCAAAACGCAACCTAAAAGAATAAAATCCTCGCCACCGACAATTCCTGCGGGAGAAAAGTAAAAGAAAAAAAAAGAAAAAAAGAAAAAGAGATGCATGCAGAGCGCATCCGCACCAGTTGTCTTGGAGGCTCCCACACGGAAACACCCACGCTACAACGAAAGCAACAACAACAAAAAGAAAAAAGGAAATCTGACAACTGCACATAAATACATTTTTGTCATTATTCCTTTCATATACTGCGACCCTTCGTCCCGCGACGCGAGTATTCCAAAAGGGCACATGCATCTGATAAAGAGGGATCCAACCCGTGGCCCCTATAAGCAAGCCCGAAAACAGGCTCACAGCGCAGAAATTTGTGATTTTAGGCTCATAAATTCACCCTCTATTCGCCCCACCAAGTCTCGAAGCGCCGCAACGCTGTCGACCTTGCAAGTTTCATCCTCTCGGCACTCGGAGGTCTTTTGCGAAAACATCCCTCCTGCCGCCTGTCGAGATTGTGAGCACCAACGCCTTTCCACTTCCATTGGCTTTATGTCCTTTAGTCGCTCCAGCAGTTCCGATAAGGCGTTTTGTAGCGACGTCAGCTCCCTACTGAGGGAGAAAACTCCTTTGCGAGTTCCTGATGAGCATGGCGATGGCGAGCATGCGTACACTTCTGTCGAAGCGTTAAAAGACGGGAAGAGCCCCGTATTTTCTTCCGTTGCCCGCGTTGGCATCACTGGTGAAGGCGACGCCAAATGAGGTGCAACGGCAAATCGACGTTGCCGAGGAACGCTGCCGTAGTGAATAAAAGAAGGTGGAGTTGTTCCAAAGTTGCTTGCGTGAGGAGATGATACATCCTGGCTCTTTCGCTCGGGAACAACTTGCAGATCTTCTACCAAAAACATATTTTTTACTCCACGTTTAGGTTGCCGGGTTGCCGAAAACTTGAATAATGACGACCGCTGAGATGATCGCTTAAATGGCTGGACGAACACCCTCTTCAATAAACCGGCGTCGTCCTGAAGGGTGCGGGCACGATATTCTCGCTCCCGCGGCCCTAGTTCGTGTTGAGTTTTTGGAGTTTTTTGTGGACCATCCTGTGAGTCTACATCCACCGTGGCACCAACCCTTGTGTTGTCCATGCTGTTCCCCATAAAATCAACGGAGCAGTGCTCGAGCGGGAAGAAGCCAAATTTTTCCGTAAAGGATGAAACAAATTCCTCCCGCCACGTCACCTGTGTGGGGCTCTGTGGGCAAACTGAACTCCTTTTCGAGGTCGTGATGACTGTCTTGCTCTCCTTTCCCTTGCCCTCTTCTGCTGGTGCTGCTGACGCTTCTTTTCCCCCCTCCTCGTTGTCGGGTGAATAAAAGGAGGAAAGGGAGGATTCAAAAAAGGCCTCCTCTTCCGCACGGGCGGAATTTCTCACCAAACTTCCGGACTTCTTATGAGAGCAACCGTCAGGCGGGATGCCCTTACCCGTACTACTCATGTTGGGATGGTTGTTTTTGCTCTTTTCGAAAATGGAAGGCCGATAAAGGCGTGCTGTTGGCGTGGCAGCATGCTCTTCCTTTTCCATACCGCCTGTTTCTCCATATTCTCTCCCAGTTCTTCACCCTCTTCCCCCGCGGGATTTTTATCCTCCGTGGAGGAATCACAAAATTCAGTTTCCCGCCG